CTCTCTCCTGCAACTTGAGCCAGCGGCAAGATCTGACGTTTTTGCAAGAAACAACAAATAAAAAAGGGCTTGCCCCACTGGCTTTGACGGTTGATTTCGAGGGGATGCAAAAACAAGAAGAGAAACACGGTCTTGAATCACCATACGGAAACCGCTGCCACTTTCTCGGGGCTCACTCCCTTACATCCGGATATGCCCGGGATGCGTACTGCCCTCGCTCAAACAGTCGATCAGAGCCGCTTGTCTGGTTCAACAAACTCAAGACTCGAGTCACAATCACCACCTGGTAAAGGGGTTGACCCAAAGCTCTTCTTTCACTATGGCGGGAAACCGCAGGAACCAAACCAAGTTTATGCCGTTGATCATCTTGAGGCTCAGGGCAACCCTCTAAGCTCATTTGGTCGAGTTTGGGAATGACCCTTGAGATGCTGCAGCAAGAAATGCCAATCTGGCAACCGGTTCTGGTGTTCGCTTCTATCGGCTCAAGCACAAGCACCACGCTGATTCTCTGGTGATTGCTTCTCTTGTTGGGTTCCCTTTCAAAGCGTCCGAGAAGGAATTCTCTACAAGAAACCGACAGGTCAACATAAGACATAGGATGGGCGACCGGTTGCGACTGGGGTAGAATTTTTGGGCGATGAAAGGAAACCAAACCACGTTTTCGCCCGTTGTGGTTTGACCATCTTTTAGGAACGGAGCAACCCTGGCAAACGCAAGGAGGCGAAACCTGCCGCTTTGCAAAGAGGTCCACAATTAGGGGGATCATGTCAATCCCAGAATAAAACTGCCAAATGATGTAAAGGCCTTAGTTGGATCGCATCAGGAGGCTGCGGGGGAAGAGGGGGAAGTTGGGTTCTATGAAACATCGACTGCGGACTTTGGAAGCCAGAAGAAATTACGAGCCGTGGATCCCATGTCTTGGCTTCCTGCTTGCCTCACTGCTTAGCTTCGGGCGGAACACTGTTGGGGTGAAATAACCATGTGGGCCTCAAAACTCCAGGGCAACGCTTGGGTGGTCTTCTGCAGACATCTGCGTTTGAAACCATTGCAAGGGCCCTTGCCTCTCGCGTTTTTGAGGGAATATGGTGCAACCACCCAAACCCTCAGAGGCCACGCGGAAAGACGGGCACCTCCCCCATACGGGTAAACAGGGCGCTGTATACGCTGGGCTCGTGACCTTCGGCACAGCAGCCCAAAAAAAGACCAAGGACCCCAGGGGTGGCCTTCAGGTCCAAAAGATACCTTGGGTGTCAAGGAAACACAGGGTGGAATCGTGGCAACCACTACACGCCAAAGTCAAGCGGCCAAGTTGCGTGCTTCCTTCCCCACGCGGACATTCGTGGGTGCCCATGTCTGTCGTGAGCTTTCTGCAAACTCTAGCCCTGATTTGACTGGGTCCTCAAATCCCTGCTAAAAGTCTAAGCCTTAGTGGGTTACATGGAAACTACCACTAAACCCTAAAACCCCAAAAAACCAAAAGGGATGCCTGAAAACCACCGAGTCAATTGATCCCCAAACAAAGAACCTGTCATGGGTGAAATCGCCCTCCGAGAGGCAGAGTCTTTTGCAGGACAGCGAGACTAACGTATTCCGTGGCGGCAACCCTCAGAACTGAGGCGTCGAATGCGCGGCTTCTAGGCGGCACAAGTTGTGCCCACCGGACCGGACGCACCCATGCGCAAACCGGAGTGGTTGAGCTGCCAGCGTGCGAAAAACCCCCTCCAAGACTTTGAAACAAGAACAACCCCGTGTAGACCTCCTTGCATGGATCGATTGCCTCTGGAAATGCTTTGGGAGGTCTAATGTGAACTTCAGACTACTTCGGAGAACCATACTACTCAGTGATTCCCTTCTTCGTGGGGAATTCATTCAAGAAAAGGGGATTCCTAACATTAATATGGCAATATGGTCCTCCGCATTTATCCGCGGTTCACCTTGCCAATACAACACCAACAACAACAAGCTGGGGTGCCGGACAGCTGACCCCACAGTGTTGGCAGTTGGAAAGTACTCTGCCGGTGTCACTCGTGGCAAAGGCTCGCGTTTGCACGCACAAGACCCTGATGCTTGCTTCCCTGGGCTCCCATTCAAACCGTCTAAACAAATGACTAGAATTCCCAAATTGCGAAAAGGGAACCCGCCGAAAAGCAGGCCAAGCAATACACTGCATACTGCGTAGATACATTTGGGTGTTGCCTCTCAAACATTTGCCTAGTGACCACATGGGCTGAGATGAAAGACCTGGCCGCAGCCTACTGTATCCTACGCATTGGCTCGCTTCAGGTCGTGTCGGTGTGGAGCATGGAAGAATGATCATGTTCGCTCATCGACACATGTTGTCTAGCAGATTGAATCAGGGGTCCTTGTCAGCAAGCTAACATTTGATGCGATCTACCTCCGATACAGTTCAATTCTTGCGCAGAACAACAATGCCACTGCCCTTCCTCATGAGTTGCGTGCAAGTTGCCAAGTACACCCATCGCAGACTTCCACGATATGAATCAAATAGTGCTCGAACTGTGCGTTCCTTCATTATAAAATAAAAAAAAAGTTAACCAGGCGTTCCTTGATACCTTATCAAAAGTCAAACCTTAGCGAGATATGTCATAAATCCCCAAGCCCAATATACACATCTAAAAGTCCTCCGGGTACTGTGGATGGACTAAACATGCACAAGCTGGGATAGATGCAGACCGTGAAAACGGAACAAACCAGCTATGAACTGGTGCAGGAATTCATCCATCATTGTGGATGGGACCCGAGCTTCCTCTGTGTGTTCATTCGGCAAAGAGCCGGAGTGGCACTCTTCGGCGATGTGAAAATCAGTTCGAGAGAAAGGCCACCCGAAATCTCTCCAGTCAGGTGCTGGTTTCCGGAGGGGCTTGTCTTGTTCAAGCCCCGGTCAGCTATCAGTCAGCTATCAGCACTGAACCGAGGGAAGACCCACCTGCCCCTAAAGTACGTGCCCCACATCTAGACATACACATGCGCAATATGCATGTATATTTATATATATACAATATGGTGCCTATATTCTGTCGACGCGCTTTTCCGAGGAAGACGGGGGCACGTCCCCAGGGACACAAATATTGCCCTTGACTGAAAAGCCCGCAGACCTTGTGTTGCAGGGGGCAACCCGCGTCGTCCGTGTCTGGAAACTGCGCGCGCAGCAGCGGGGGCGAGTCCCCCCTGAAAGAATCAGATCCCGGTAAAAACAAAAAGCACCAACCTGAAGTAAGAGATGGACCTGGAAAGAAAGTTCATAAAGGTCAGTCCCCTAAGAGCGCTAAACTTCACGCAAGATCTTTTGCCCTTGAAAATAGTCTTCCAAGGGCTCACTAGGTCTGACACTTTGTACCTATACCAAGTCACTTTGCTTGTCCGCAAAGAAGCCTTCAGATTGGTTTGCGGAGTGACAGAGCCTGGTCCTTTGGGAGGGACCCTTCCCCCCGATGGCAGAGCTTGCGCACGCGACAGGGCCGGGGGGAGCGTCCAGCCGCCCCCCAATGGAAAAGCTAGGCGGAGAAAATCTGGCGCCTCAAGGACTTTTAGGACGGTGCCGAGCCGTTCTAGGGTGGCGCTTGAAAGCACGAGTTCAAGCTACGTTTGGTTCACACTACACTTCATTGGATTGGCTACAAACCTGTTGGACAATCGCAACCCATGAATAGAAAAATCAACACTTACCTTGTATAACACCATTATGTAGGCTCTGTCGCGGCAAACATCTTTAACGCACGTGGCAAGAAGGCGGTGCTCAGGTTGGCATGTGTGTGTGTGTGTGTTCAACAAATCAGGGGCATTTATCTGTTGGTTGGGGAGAATCAAAAGTCATTGCGTTGGTTTTAAGAGAGAACCAAAAGGAATCACGCCAGATCGCCCAAATGCTTGCAAGTTGGGCGAAAAGCTTGCCCATCCCACTCATTCCAAGGACACCAAAGCCCCCCACACAGAGAGAGAAAGAGAGAAAGAGAGAAAGAGAGAAAGAGAGAAAGAGAGAAAGAGAGAAAGAGAGAAAGAGAGAAAGAGAGAAAGAGAGAAAGAGAGAAAGAGAGAAAGAGAGAAAGAGAGAAAGAGAGAAAGAGAGAAAGAGAGAAAGAGAGAAAGAGAGAAAGAGAGAAAGAGAGAAAGAGAGAAAGAGAGAAAGAGAGAAAGAGAGAAAGAGAGAAAGAGAGAAAGAGAGAAAGAGAGAAAGAGAGAAAGAGAGAAAGAGAGAAAGAAAGAGAAAGAGAAAGAGAAAGAGAAAGAGAAAGAGAAAGAGAAAGAGAAAGAGAAAGAGAGAAAGAGACAGAGACAGAGAGACACACCACACCACCCAAGGGAAAGGGCCTTAGAATGTTCCGAGAACCATTCTGGCCCTGTGCTGAGTTGAGGTCTTGGCCAGTAGTCAAGGAAGGAACCCAATACCTGAGTCATGAACCTGCTTTTCAATACTATCAAGAATTATTGTCACCCGCCCCTGCGGGTGACGCCAAAGACTCTATATAAAGTACTGTACCCGCATTATAACTAGAATATAGCCACATTGGCTTGGCCTCCAACGAAATCATAGGGGGTACAATTGTACGGATCCACCCTCACGAGCATGTTAGATTCCCAAACAAAGCCATTTGAAAGGCTGTCCAACCGATTTCGACTTGGCCCAAAGCAAAAGAAGCTGGAACGAGAAGAAGGTGCATGGCGCATCTATTCTGGCCCACTGCGAGACTCGCTTGGGTCGGACGTTTCACCCCAGGGAAAAGGCGGCTTGCCCGGCTCGGCCGGTCCCATCCCGGTGGGAAGTCCCTCGCTGACAGCAAGCACCGGCGCCGCCTTTGGACACCGGACTGCGAGTGAGGGAGAAAAACACCGCTGCACGGAGTGCTCCGTCAAATCAAAAGTGCCGGCTTAAAGGTTTTCAAAGTTCCAACACGAAACCTACACAAACCCTGCTGAGCTGAACCACTTCGAGCTTTCTTTAAACAAACGCCTTTTTCTCAAGTCGTCGGATCCTTCGATACGTCCCTTTTCGCGGTGTCAGCAAATGTCAACTGCCTCACTCGATGAGACTGAGAGCGGCTTTCTCACAACGCTACAACATTCGAGAAGTACCTGCGAGCTCGCTCCCGATTTGCGGGAGGTGGCAGGGTACCCTCTGGAGTCTCTTAGGACCGAAGAGTCTTTTTCCTCTTTGACGGGCTACCTAGTGCCTTCCATGTTGGCTGAAGAAAGAGAATTGTCCAAGGAAAGACTGCCATGAAATACAGAACATATGTCAGTTTCCAGAAATGCGCCAAAAAAACATGTCCAACTGTCCTTTGGGGGCATAAAGACGAATTGTGGGCTATTTAAAAGGAGAGGAGCACGGCCACTCAGCACTTCAAGCCGCTCACATCAACCCAAAGTGGAGGTTGGTCACCATCCACACAAATATACAATGGCCAGAAAGGAATGTACGGGAAAGGGAAACGACAACCAGTGAGCGCTCCAGAAAAGCAACGCATCACTTGAATCCATCCCGTCCATTTTGAGCTGAGTCCTGATACTAACAAGACATTCCTTCATGTGGCCGTGTGGAAAGTGCTTCAAAGTCTCTGGAAATCATCAGTAGTGCGGCTTATGCTTCCTTGAACAGTGCGCAATGTGTGCCGACTGCAGTCATCAAGTCCCTGCGGCAAGCCACATGAACCAAGGAGAGGGCCGACTTGCTTGTGAAAATGTGCCCCTTTCGGTGCATGCGGAATCTCCGTGACTAGTTCAGCACTTTATTTGACTATTGGATTGCTTGTATTTCTCCTTTCTTGGCTGCAACTTGACACTTGCCAGGCAAGGTCGGGCTGTTGCGGTTTCTTACAAAACCTTCGGAACCGCTTAAAATCCCACCCACCGATGCAAACCACCAATTAAGCCAAGGCTAATCTATTCCAACTCAAACATCCTGGCGGATTTTCCCAAGGTCCCAACTTGCGGATCCCACACGACGGTCGGTCCGTTGGTTGTGCAAGCGACCCGTTGGGACCCAACCATGTTTAGGGATCCCAGTTTGTTGGTGCGGTGCCAAGTAATTTCGAACCAAGTCGCAACACGTTGACCTTCTGCGTGACATGTAAAAACAAGAGAAGCAAAGATCAAAAAACCATCACCAACCCCAAAACCCCCTACCCCTCTACCCCCCCCACCCCGGTCCCACTCCCTGGCCCCAAACCCCTACCCGAAGTCCGACGGATCCAGAGCCCGGGGCCCCGCGCGGTTTCCGGTTGCTTCTCATCACCTCCGTGCGCTTGAAGGCTTGGAGGTTGTTCAGCGCGCCCTTCGCAGAGGCGGCGCGCGCGAGAGGCGTGACAAGAGGCACCTGATCTTTTCTCGGCTTTCCTTGAATGAATTGTCAAGTTGGATTGCACACAATTTGGTGGCAGCCAAAACCACTCAATGGCCACCATATCGAACCCAATAGGCAGACCTAGATCTGAGCGATCCTTGTGATGCTGCGGATGCGGCCAAACAACCCCGACCAACTAACCAATGGAGAAATCGCAACCATTGCATTGGGCAAGTAACCGGGGATGTTGGGGATGAGCCCGCCCAACCAACCAACCAACAAACCAACCAACCAACCAACCAACCGCAACGCAACCCAACCCAACCCAACCCAACCCAACCAACCAACCAGCCACCTGACCAGGGTTAAGCCCCAGCCGAGGCCAAACACAAAAGAAGACCAATTGGAATACCAACCTTTAGGCGATCGGCAACCTCCGCCGTTACACAGGGTATGCATTCAAGTAGTTGTGTGAGCATGGCTCCTTTTCTGTGATCGCAAGAAAAGGGAATCCCGTAAGCAAAGCGACAAGGTAGTGCCAGGGATGGTCCACTCCGGTATCACAAAAGAGCTTATTTGCCACCACAGTGTTGCGACCGCATTGAAGAATGCCCACTTTGGATTTGAAGGACATTTCCAGCATGAATCAGGAGTGGCTCCCCTTCGTTTGCTAGAGTCTCCAGAATTAGTCTGATGGCAGCATGACTCTAAATCGAGCCAACCCAGGACGATTTGGCAGGCTTTGACTCTGAAAGGACCCGTTTGAGTTCAGTCAAGCCTACTCACGTATGGGGTCCTTGCTTTCCGGTGTTGGACTGTTTCTGCCTGTTTCCAATACTTGGTACACACAGAGGCAGGGTTTAGACCCCCAGCAACCGGCATTCCACTTCCTTGTCACTCAACTTCTGAGTTCTTCACACTCCCTGGAGGTGACGTTTGTCTCCCTCAAAGCGGATGCGAAACCAGCAGCAAACACGGGAAAAGCCCAAGAGCCTCGTCCCCATGGGACTGCTCTGAATTGACTGCCGTTCACTTCACGTCACCCTCCTTTGTTTTTGTTGGCGGCATGGAAAGGGAATTCTTCCCGAGTGGGAATAGGCTTCCAGGTAGCAATTCCAGGCTTCCAGGGAGCATCCAACCTTGCTATACCTTTGGATCCCATGTGGCTGCGGGTCAAAAATAGGTACCCACAATGGAACCCTGGTGAAAGGAACCAAGGACTAAAACCTGCGGTCCATATCCTGGTGGGTTGATTTTGACCCGTATGTCTCCAAAGAGGTGTGAATTGGTGGACCCCAAACGAGTGAAACCCAAAAGACGAAGTCCCTCCCAGGCCCACTCCTGTACGTGCGCAGGGACCACGATGCAAGCCTTGCGCCGATTCAAACATGGCTCATGTGTTGTTGGACCCAGGGGACTTGCGGTCCAACCACAGATTCAAGCACCACGTGCTGTTCAAGCAGCAATCACCAATCAGATCCAATCTTCACAAAAGTTCCCTTGGTTGCTTTGGTGTGAAGGGACTCGGGCATTAGCTTTCGATTGCCTAGTAACCCTACGCGGGGTTGACAGGGGGTGAACTGAGGTACAAACACCTACTTGGGAACCAAGCGGCTACAAAAAAAATGCTAGCCAACCCGTGTTGTCAAGTCCCACGTAGAACCATGTTCATAAACCACCCATTAAGTGGCTTGATCAGCCGCGCATCTACTTAGATTGTCTGGGGGGTTCAAGCAAACCTTGTTTGCAGGCTTGCGGAGGCTTACTAGTGTGAACTGAAGCACATAACGGGTGGACAGAGTTATAAAATCCCATACAGGCTTGACAATTGGATGGATGTTTTATTCTGGCTCATTTATGGTAGCGTGGCATTGAACCAGGCTGTTTCGACCACTCGTTTGCCACCCACCCGGGTCCAAATGGGCAAAGCTTTGTTGGGTGTCTCTCAAAACGCGTGGGGGGCCGGCCTTCTCTGGTGGTACCTTCATGGGACCCCCGACATGTTTGCATTCCGTCTGGTTTCGCCCAGAAATTCCCCGAAAGTGTCCCTCAACGTATTTGAAACTTTTATGGGCGAACGCAAGAGGACCGAGTTCCCTCTTTTTGGACACCAAGTTAGTGCCAAAACCAGAGGAACGCCTCCAAGCCGGCCAGTGGGAGTGATGCAGGGGCCACGACCAAAAAATACTACGCACAATGGGCACGTCCACGAATTTGGAACATCGATTCAAATGGGCACGTTTCCTGATTGCAGGGCATCTGGGAAATCCCCACCCCAAATGGACCATGCACTGGACGTGTTGGCTGAGCCTCACCTGAAGCAAGTTGCACCCGTTGGGAAGTTGGCGAAGCATCTCACAGGGTTGCTCCCATTCGATCCAACGTTACCCGCGGAAGGAAACCAAAGTAAACCACATTTCTCCCCTTGGGTTCTCATCATCTGTGAGAGGCTGGGCTGAGTTGATTGCCCTAAAAATCCACTTGTGGGGCTTTGCAAAGAGCGTTTACTCCACTGGCAAGACGAGGATGCTGTTTGTTGCCCTTCAAAACCATTCAATTTGCTTCGACATGGTTCCAAAGGGAAGACTTGCTTGTTGTGAGAGAGCAGGGTTGAATCACAAACACATGCACATCCATTTCTGGCTTGAAGAGGTGTCCTGACAAAATGTCCTCAGGATGTTGGTACGGAAACCAGTCAAGAAACAACCATGCCAACAAACAAATGTCAGAAGAAGCGACAAGAAATCCCGATTGTTCCAAAGGATCCCAGGGCTGTCGATCCATGAACCGGCATGATGCAAAGACTTCGGAAATGAAGGTCCGACATGTGTCCAATCCAAGCGAATCCGATCCCGTCACATCGAAACAACACCGCCCCTTGGCAAAGGTCGGCTCCTCAGGTTGCGAAGTTCAAAGCCTTCCGTCGGAAAGCCTGAGGTGGGCCAAAATAATCACGTGGCTGGAACCCAGTTAACCACCAGACCCCCTGTAAGCCCTTTTTACTAGGGCTAACCATTTAAACGTAGTGTTGTAAGTTCATCCCCCGGCTGTTAAGTTAATTAATCCCCCGCCCTCCAAATATGTCTGCCGGGATCGCCAGCCCAGATCCGATCCCGCGGCCTTGGCGGAGCCCGAGTTGGGGAATTGGTACCCGTCCATCTTGTTCTGAAAGGCAGCGGCATCCTGAAAAACATCCGGCGCGAAGGACTCCGATGTGGTCGTCTGTTTTTGGCCCCCGCAAAGTGACCATCGACCACTTGGTAAGTCGACCGAACCTCGTGCGGGCCTCTCTCCAACATGGAGAAACCCAAACAATTGATGGGGGGCCCTTATGCCTGCGAACCAAACCCGACAGAGCGAGACCCTCCCAAAAAGACCCACTCATACCCGTCTCCTCCAAATCCAAGTGGGAAGTGTCCTTTTTCAAGGGTAACCTTTTTGGATGGTTTTAAATGGACACCAAAGGCACAATTGTGTGGGTGCCCCGTTTGGAGACAAACTCTGTTCGGAGCTGTTCCAGAAGGGTTTGAGCATGCGCCGAGATTGGGAGCAAGATCTGCCTAACAGGCACTCCAAACAGGTGCGTCCTTCTAAGTGTTGCCTTTTCCTGTTAGCTTGAAAAGGAACATATCCGCCAATTCTTTGGCTTCCTATTAGACGAGATCTCGAGAGAGTGCCCGAAATTTGTTTGACTGCAGAGGGATAACAAGGCTTTGCGGTTGGTTCAAGGGGATTTAAGACACACCCAGATCCCATAAGACCGATTTTGACACAAACCCAGCTCCAGACTGAGCTCCCAACCCCCAGAAAAAGCTGAAGCTCCACTTCTGCTTGGCCGCCTCTGTTGGTTTTCTATTGGGGTAAGAAACCCCCCTTCAATCGGGCTTGCTGGGATATATAACCCTATTTAATTGGGCTTCTCTCAACAGAACAAAAGCCTCAAAATGGCTGGTTTCGGTTTGGCTTTCCTTTAACTCAAGTCTCCTCCGGTGTGATGAAGTTGATGAAGGCATACCCCAGGTTGGCGCGGAACTTCACATCCCTCGGGAGGTAGAAGAAGTCGTACCTGGGATGCCAGCGAGGCCGGTGAAGTGGGCATCGCAGGACCCGTCATCAGTGCTTCAGAGGATCACATTTTCAGGCTCCATGATGATTTTCCAGGGCCACAGCCCGAAAGGGACGGGCCTTGGAACTTTGGAACCTTGAAACCCTCGTTGCAAACTCAGGGTCCTGGCGTGGACCAGTTCGGCAGGTTCCATGACAAAACTATCCTAGAAACTGAGAGGGAATATGCACCAAGGGCGAGTCAAGCGCCCCATTCCTTTTCATCTGCGCGAACCTGCCTGCGAGAAAGGACCCAGTCCCATCAGCAGGGGTGACCCTTTGCTTAAACATCTTGAAAGCCGCATTGTTCAAACAACATCCTTTTGACTTTCCCCTTCGCCCAATTTTGTGCGCTCAATTTATGCACCCAAACTTTGCACCCCGGACACCTTGATCATATCCCGTCCGCTCCGGGCCAGCGCGCTTGCCCCTAAAACCCTCCTCGTCGATCGTCAGCATCACCTGGGCCCAGCCATGCGGCTCGGCGCCCCTAGCCAAAGCACTGGATGCGTTCATTTCTAAAAGGAGACGCCCAAAATGAGTGGCTTCCTTTTGGTGCTCCTTTAAACCCAACCAAAGAGAGAATACACTCAAAAAGAGACACCCACATAGTGCCATGTTGTCTAAAATCCTAAGAGACCCCGACAAAGTTTGGAGCATGGCACTCGCTTGCTTCTGGAAAACCAGTTTGGACCGCGGAATATAGACAGCCATACCTACCCTGGAGCGGTGTCTCTTGATGTCCCCGCCTAGCAAGTGAACCAATGTGTTTGTTGAGGCCCATAACTAAATGCGGGGGTTCCCCCCCCCAAAAAAAAAAAAAGAAACCATAGAAAGCCCAAACAACGAGGAGTCAGCTGGACGACTGAATCCTTGACAACCTGTTGCTGGCACACTGAGTGGGGGTACGGTTCCCCTTCAGTGCTCAATGGGAACTCGATGGAAAAGGGAGCATAGCTTTCAGATTCCACGTGAGGCGTGAGCTTTAGCATAGCTTTCAACTGAGGGAACTTTAGAAGCTGCAAACCTGGCCATACCAACTGGTTCGCGCCTCACATGTCCAGCTCTAACCAACCCTCAGTTGCCGCCCCAAACCCTGAACCCAGAGCATCCCTCAGACGCCTCAGCTAAGCTCCAAACATTCCCGATGGCTACCTGCGAAACACCTTACCTCTTTGACCCCTCCCCCTTGCTCCGCGAAAAAGCGTTCCGCACTCCACTCGAACGGATTCACGAAATCACGAAATCAATCGAAGGATTTGGGATGTGACCATCATGGTCTTCCTGTTGGTGTCCCTTTTAAGCAAACCCATCAAGGGTACCCTGATTTTTTACACAGATTTCGCTCCCTGCCTCCTCTTGGCTCTTTCTGCATGGGATGTTCTTCAGCATCATCGTCCTGGCTGAGACAATGAGGCAGCTTTGGAAGACCGTGGCCTGACCCCAGATTTCAAGGTTGAACACGTCACCAAGTTTACAACTCGGGTTCGCGCCCACGTCACGTTGGCTCCCTTAGTAGGAACCCTTGGCTAAACCCTCTATGCAAGCTCGATCACCATCCTCCAAAACCCCAAGTGAGCGAATCGCCCTAAGAAAGTAGACTACAGAAAAAAGGATACCCTTATTCTATCCTCTCTACTGGAGGACCTAGTGATGAGTGATGGGAGCCCAGATGAAGCAACCCCTTGGTTCTTGAATGAGAGCAACCGGCTAGAGCGGGGATCCAGATTCTCAGATCAGTCTTGGGGAACACGCCCCCAATCTGCGGCACGTGTGTTTAATCCAGGGTCAGTGGGTGCCTGTTTGAGTTGCTACCCATTCTTGGGGAAACCAAACAAATGGAGACCAGCCGATTTTTGGACCAGAGGTAAAAGGGCACTGGGGGCTTCTGTCACCCTCTCCGGAGCGAGTCTCAAGGCCCTGGCGTGATGGGCTGCGTAACAGGACCCGGCGTCTCATTGGAAAACCTCGAATGCCGAGGGCGAAAGGGTCCGAACCTGTCACGGGCCCAAAAAGGGAAAACTCCCGGCCGCTTCACTACATGGCCCTTCACGTGTCTCACCCCACACGTCAAAGCTGACAGCCAAAACGGGGCGGGGGGGGGGGGGGTGAGCGCCGACAAGTCACTGAGAATTCCGCAGCTGCGAGATAAACTGCCGGTTCTAAGGGAATTTGGGGGAAAGCACCCATAACCCCATATGAGCTGGTTGCTGGTTTGTTGCTCACATACTGCCCGCCAACACGCCAAGACAAAACAATGTGCCAAAGACTTGAGACGCCTTGGGAGCAGTGCGGGTATCCAAACGTGGCGAGCCCATGGCAGGAACTCCGTCCAACAGCATGCCAAAGCTGGCGACCCATTTTTTACGAGAACCCAGTCAAGAAGGCTGTCCCCCAGATCAGATTCATGTCCACAAATCATGTTTGAGGTTGCACTCGTCCAAATTCATAGCCAAATCTTGGCCAGACGGATCCGTTAAAAGGGGGGAAAGACAGTACCCTCGGGAGGAAGGGCGAAGATGTTTGCGTCTGGCAATGAAACAACGCCCTTCGAATCCCTTGCGTTCCTTGGGACATGGGGCCCCGGCTTCTTGATGTAGTCCGTACGCTTGGGCCCGCCGCCGCTCAGGGGGACCTTGTTCTTCTCCTGCGCGGCAAGCTGCGGGAGAGTGGCAGCTCGGGCTGATTCCTATTCATGTTGACCTGGAAAGTGAATCCGGCTGTTGCAGGGCCACGTGCCGAAGTCGGGGTTCCCATCATCGGAACTGGATCAACGCATAAGCAGCGATGGCGCGGCTCTAGATGGCTCTGGGAATGAAGTACTCGCACACTCGCACACAAAGGATCCAAGACGGTCAATCCACCATTCGCAACCACGAGCCCCAAAAGAACACGGTTGGTTTATAGCCCTTGCGTAGTCGCGTAGTTGTGGTTGTCTGCCCCCGCTGGTTTGCAGAGTGGCTAAACCCTAGATCTGAGCTCTGGGCCGAGAAAAAGGTCTTGAATTGAGGCTACGGGCAGAATGTATCGGCTTCCCCTTGTGTGGGCATGAGCTTTTGGAAAAGGAACCTTTGGTGACGTCAAACATGATCGGATTTGAAAGAGACAAAAACCATCAGGACTGTATGCAGGGCCAGCGTTGTCTGTTTGTCGCTGTGATTGCAGACAATGCATGGCTGTGGCAAATATGGATGGATGATTCTAGAGCTTCTCCCTTCAACAGAACAGCTAATGAAGCGACCATGCTGCAAATCAACCAACCTTGAGACAAAAGGTGCATTTTGCCATCTTCCCTTGTTAGTTGGAAAAAAAGAGAAGGCATTGGACCACCCTCATTCGCAGAATTTCTACATTCCTAGACAACCTCCGCTCCCAATTCATCATCGAACCAAAAGGCAACCCGTAGGAAACCTTTCGTTTCCCACTGAAACATCAAGCCACTTGAGGGAAGCTCGCCTGAAATTGGACAGCTGAAGTTTGATTCCTTCGGGGAAACTAGCTTTAGATTGGCCCACCAGCTGATGCTCAAACCCACGCGCAACTCGCATCTCACACTAGTCGACCCCATTTTGGGCAATGTACAAAACAACCCAACAGCTTACTCTCACCAGCCGGAATTTGTTGAAGGATCCCTAAGATACCAAAAGTAAATCCCAATGGACACCCTCACAAACCTCCCCAAATTCTCAGCTCGACCCAAAAACGTCCTTATCGGCGTCCAAACCTGCGCTGATGCAAGCCCGGTGGCGCCGTCTCCGTATTTTGCTTGGGGTTGCTGCCCCACAACTTGAAAGTTGCAAAAGGAGTCAAGAGGAATCCAGGGACCCTCCAAATGCTACGTTGCTTGGAGGAAAACACATGGTCTGGCACGGCTGATAAGAATGTGTACTAGGGAATCCTGAAGGACTTGTGCGGAACATCTGAAGGGTGGCCCTGAGTGAAGCTTTGAAATGCAGAATAATGAAGCAAATATCCAGTGTAATATCACCAGTGCCAGTAGTTGTTTGAATGTACCGTTTTTTCGCCACACGAGAGACTGATGAAAGCTTGGCATGTAAGCTGAAAAGACGCTCTCTTGCCATTGCTATTGGGTTAGCTATGCAGCTCTGTGCGCAAGCACACTGCCGGGAGAGGGGGGGGGGAAGGGCACACTGACACTCCCAAACTCCCCAAGCTAAGCTTCAAGTAGCTTGGATAAGGATAACGTATGCACAAGGCCATTTTTCACAAAGTTGCCGTGCTGCCCCCGCTTACAAAACAGAGCGGTTTGGCTTGCCCAAGCGGTACATCGCTGTGCACATGAGGCCGTCAGCGAAACCTTTGAGCGCCTGCATGCGCCTGCACTCGAGCCTCACCGTTAGGACCCTCAATTCGACGCAGAGTGCCTCACATTTCTGTCGCCGCGTACGCTACGCAGACGGGAAGGGAATGATAAACGTTGCTGCCATTGCTGTAGTTGTACAACAGGGACTACGAACCTACGGGTCTTTTCGCCACGCCCCTCATGGTGTTGCTAGGGGCCCTCACTCCTCACGACGTGACCGTTATCAACCTGCCTGCCAGGCACATTGCAAAGGACTGCATGTTAAACTAAGCTTGCGACTTCTTGCAAATTGAGGGCCCTTGCTTACGGAGCCCTTGGTTTCCCAAGGTCGTAAAAGCAAATTGCGGGGTTTCGTGGCTATAAAACATAAGACTACAAAACTAGTGGTTCCTAAGAAGCCTATAGATTCAGTACATGTAAAAACAGGTGGTTGCCCAAACAAAGCTATGGACCCTTAGACCCCCCACAACAATCTGGGGAGCTCAAATCCATGGACCCCGACCCCTCGAGCCGCGACGCGGCCTGCGACCTCTTTGAGCCTCCGGCCTGGCGAGCCACGAGCCCCGAGCTGCGGCTTTGGTTCCATGCGCGGAGTCAACTTCAAAGCCTGGGATTGAATCAGTCTACCGAAAACATCCCAAATCTATGCGAACAAAAATGTCAATGGCAAAACCCATGGAAGAATTTTCAATGGTTGGCCTTGAGCGATTATCTGTTTGTTTCTAGTGGGGACTCCTAAACTTCATGGCCGTTTTGATTGTGGCTCAGGTTGCCAGGCTGCGAACGAGTCATGCTGAGTGGGGTCTTCCCCCGAAGACAAACATCAATTGCCTTCTTGGGCGACCCCATGGGTTTCTGCAGATGGGTCACAGGATGCACACCTGATTGTCCTTTGGTGCAAGCTGGAACTCGTTCAGAACGCGTTGAACGGGTCCCTTGAGTTGTAAGTTGAGTTGGAAAAATGAGGTTGGCTTCCCCAAAGCGTCTAAGGGGCTGCGGATCCAAACACCGGCCACGACTGGCCACGACCAAGTGCTACAGACCAATTCCATCCATTCGGTCCTACCATCGCTCTATATCCATTTTTCCCATTTTTCCCCCCCCGAGGTGTTTGGTGGTTCCTGAAGAGGGAAAAATCCCAAGAAGAACGGGACAGTTGACCCTAGAACTATCTTGCCTTTTGCCAGCAAATTCGACTGCGTGCATTGCTCGGAGAGATGCCCTTGCTGCGTCTCGAATGTGAATCAAACCGAGAATTCGGCAATGGCATCGGCTCATCCTCGTGTTGTGAACAAGTTTCGCGGGTTGGTTGAGCCGAGCACCTGTTGAACACGTGCAAAACTACTTGCATGTTAACATCCTCATTCGTTGCTTGTCCGGCAAGAGGTCCACGGCAACTGGTTCATGATTACAGGTAGTACTTTAAGCCAATGAGGTAGCCCGTTGTATTGATCTTGCCCTGTTCCTCTGCCTTTGAGGCCATCCCACGCGACTGTGCCCGTCGCGCCATCATCTTCTTGGCCCTTCTTTCCTGGCGGTGCGAGGGGTCCGGCTTCTCCATTTAGGGCGGCAAAAGCACGGTCCCCATACAAGTGGCGGGTCCAAAAGGGGAAGCTGGCTTCGTCGTGCCAAGGAAACCAAGCGACCAAGCGAGGCTTGCCGCCTGCAAATTCACATAGAACCCGAAAAGGGGTCTCTCACAAGACTTCCTCCATGTTGAGTTGCATGGCCAGTCGGAGGAATTCTCGTCGGACTCACATCTAAGGTCACAAGTCTGCCAGGCAAGGGAGGTGAATTACAATCCCCCACAAAAATGGCTGATTGATAGGGGGTGTCCCTGGTCAGAATGGGCTTCTTCACTATTGGAGGAAGCATCCCCTGATCGTTTCATCAGGTTCATCAAATCCGGGGTCGACGTTGGGCTTAGCCTACATTCACACCATCCCCACGGCGCCGCGGCCCCACGGCTCCACGGCCGCGGCATGCCTCGTCCGGCACCTTTGCCACCTCAGGTAGGCGAAACCCTGGGTGAACCTTGACCAAGTCCCCTCAGCTTGTGGACAACCAAACAAACAGCCAAACAAACAAACAAACAAACAAACAAACAAACAAACAAACAAACCAATCAATCAGTCATACTGTCATAAAGTGTCAGTCATTCAGGCAATCGGTCAATCCATCAAACAAAGAAACAAGAATGATTGGCTGGCTGGCTGGCTGGCTGGCTGGCTGGCTGGCTGGCTGGCTGGCTGGCTGGCTGGCTGGCTGGCTGGCTGGCTGGCTGGCTGGCTGGCTGGCTGGCTCAACTGGCTGCGAACTGGTCCCGACTTGCCGGTTTCCCCACCTTGCGTGCTTGGAACCAGTGCGAGTGAGCCACGCTTCCCCATGGCCAAGCATCAGAATTGCATCTCTCTCTCTCAGGGAGCCTCCCAGCCCAACGCACTCAAACGCCTCAGATCTGGAAGTGAAGTGGTTGGTAAACCTGAGTCCTAGCCCTTCAAACCCTCGTAGCCATGGTCCCGGACCCTGACACTAGACCCGGGGCCCGGGCGGTCGTTGCCATGGCCTTTCCGGACGTTGCGGGCACCTGGCGAAAGGAATGCCACAGGTGAGACCACCCCGGCTTCCTTTGGCTTGTCAAACATCCAACCCTCCAAAGCCCAAGACCCCCCACCCCCACAAAAAAAGGCGGACCACACCCAATGGGGACCCTTTTTGGGGGCTCGTCGAACAACAAGACACACATTTGGATGTGCGTCCACACAAGCGGGCGTTTGGGGTGCTAAAGGAAAGCCAACGGCCAACAACCCATCTTGGGAGTTCATCCATTTGAGCAACGTGAAATGGCGTGTTCCCCCAATAGTGAGTCCTTTGGTGCTTGTGGGAGACTTGGCGGGTTGACCCCAAATCATAAACCAATTAGGAAACGTTCACACCTCAACTGTTTGAGTCTGGTCCATAGGTCAAATTTGGTGGACCTCATGTCTCATAGGTTCCATCGAGACTAGCCATGGATCCGGATCGACGGCCTTTGCCGACATCGGGGCCGCACCTCGGTGACTCGCCAATCCGTTTGGTATCCTCTTTGGGGACGGGGGGTAGCACTTCTTGGGCCTTTGCGAGGTTTTGAGGAATCAAAAGGAGCAACGTTTCTGGGGTTGCCCCCCCACCCAAGTTGCGACGAATCATCTACCGAGAGGGTCATAAAGCCTAAAAAGCTCCGAGGGCGGCATTGACCCGAGGCAAGGGAGAACCCTGGAGCCCGAGAACTACAGTTTCTGCAGCTCCACGGTTGAAACCACCATTCACACCACAGCAAAAGAAAGAAAGAAAGAAAGAAAGAAAGAAAGAAAGAAAGAAAGAAAGAAAGAAAGAAAGAAAGAAATAAAGAAAGAAATATAGAAAGAAAGAAAGAAAGAAAGAAAGAAAGAAAGAAAGAAAGAAAGAAAGAAAGAAAGAAAGAAGAAAACAAGAAAGGAAAAAAGAAAGAAAGAAGGAACACCAGGAGAAACAAAAACAAGCCAACGAAGACACATACGAAGCAACCAAGCGACCGAGCATGGACATGGCAAGCTTGAGGTTACGTCGCCTCTGTGGACGAATTGTCCAATGTCGGCTCAGCAACGGCGATGGCAATGGCCAAACAACTGCAATATGTGCTCGCTCCAAAACTGTGAATACAAGGACCTCTTGAAGCACGTGCTCGAGCTGACTTTATCCCTTGCGCAAAAGGCTTGATGATAGAAGACCCGTAAGGAGTAAAACGGCCAAAGAAAAACAGAAGGCACCAAAAGGGGCCAAAAGGGAACCAAGAGGGAACCAAGAGGGAACTAAGAGGGAACCAAGAGGGAACCAAGAGGGAACCAAGAGGGAACCAAGAGGGAACCAAGAGGGAACCAAGAGGGAACCAAGAGGGAACCAAGAGGGAACCAAAAGTAAAGAACGGCATGTACATTCGCCCTGGCCCAGTGATCTTTCTACTGATTCTACTGCCGGCACATCATGTGCTGCCTCGATCGAACTGAGCTTTTCGCCCCCCGTACTGCGCGTACGGATCGCCCTGCGTGTTGCGATCCAATTGCGCGACAAAAGATCCAGCCCAGGAAGGTGCGAAGATGGACAACTGGGATTGGAACCCAACAAAGACATCCCCTTGTGGTTTCCTATTGCTCAGTTGCTTTCTGCTCCCCTGCTAAAAGCTTAACTTTTAGTGGTTTTTCCATGTTTAAGTCCTACCATCCAAGCAAAATGGCGATGTGTTGAAACTTGTTGGGGACCCTTTTTCGGGCTTGTCTGATTGAACCAAACTGAACGGAAAGAAAACCGAGCAGTGGAGCAGGCGCAGGAAGCCAACATATTAGCATACTAGCACATAAACAATGATGTGCCAGTCCGCAGCAATGGAATTGAAACGAAATGGACCCATTTCATATTGATAGTCAGGCTAAGACTTGGAATTCGCTGTGTCAAGCACATCTGCCAAGCCACGGTTCTTATTCATTCCCCAACTGACATGAGACTTTGGTAAGTCAACCAGTGTTTCTAGTGGTATGTTGGCTCCACGCCATCCCCTTGACTACCGTAGATGATAGTAATTACTGACGATTGAGAACATCAACCGAGGCTGGAGGCTCGTCGTGAGCTCAAGGTATCCAGTGGGGGTACTCGGTGCTCCCATCTATTTCCCTTCTGCTGCCCCCCTGTGAACGAAGAAAGCGCCCTATCCGCGAAAATTGACCAAAACAGCACAATCAACACACCACCATAAATGATATTCCAATTCATGTGACCAGTTTGTTTGTTGGGGGGGCTACGCAGGTGCAAGCGTGCACATGTGTAGCACTGATTGCTAGGATTCACCGACCTGAACTTAGCACTTCTTGCACCTTCGTCATGGGTGAGCTCGTGTAACCCCGGACGAACTCGCCAGAATCAGTGCATGAAGATAAGCTTTACATACACATACACGCCGGTGTTGTCCCTCTGGGGTCACAATAAGATGTGCCCGAGGAAGGTCTAGGGATGCAAAACGAACTGAAGGCAACCTCAATTTGTGCACAGCGGACTGAACTAGCTGACCAATTCCCGTATGAACGCGACGATATTCTTTTCTGACAGACTTTCAAAAGGCACTGATTCCCAACCAGCAAATCTACTAAAACTCTTTTTTGCTTTTCGGGGAAAACATGCTTGTGTCGATCCAAAATACTCCTTTCAGGCCACAACAACTCCAACCACTCTTTCATTTCCATGTTGTCTGCTTACTTCGAAACGGGCAGAACAAATGCTCAGAGCCAAAGACAATTACCCAGGTACGTGCAATCTACATCATTCTGCAGCACGAAACAATGTGGAAAAGTTCATTTCTGCATGTGCGCACATCACAGACGTCATTTGGTGCTCGGACAGTGCATGCTGCTTCAGCAGCCGAGCCGGGCGTCTGGCCTGAATCCCCGCAGCGGCCTGGAACAAGGTGCCGGCTGTGTGTCAGGGGGGGGGGGGCAGGTCCATGTTTCTTTTTCCGGCATACGAACCACCTGCCATGTGCCAGGATCAGAACTCAATGCTCTGAATTTGGATTAAGTTGCATGAATTCAATATAAAGAGGTAATCCCTGCCCAGCCAAATAGAACCAAACAATTCTTCCTCAAAGCCAACTGTCAGACGCTGTCAGAAAAGGCTATTCTCCCAAACCCTACGCAGCTTTCCACCATCCCAAAGGTGACCCAAGGGCGACATGAGCCAGCCTGCATCTGCTGAAGAGTCTGCCTAAGTCGCAGAAATACGGGCCGCCGAAAAGAAATAATTGTTTTGCGTTTTCCTGTAAAACCATGCCACGGGTGGGGTTCACCTATTGAGGCACAACCCAACATAAGACGCAATCCAACAAAGCTGCCCGGGCTAAAAGAAGTGGTGGATCTAAAGGCCTTCGGGAAGTACTGAATTCGACTTGGTCCAACAAAACTCCTACGGACACGTCCCAAATGCCGAGGCCAAACACGTGACAGCACGGCTAGGCAACAGACTTGATCATCACGTGTAATCTGGACGATTTGAATCAGCATCTCTCACATGAAGGCGGCGTGTTTTCCTGCATAGCTTTTGCTTCGCGTTACACCATTCATCTCAAGGCGTCAAAAGGAACCTTGCGGTATGCTCACAGGCACAACCACTGCATACCTATTTGCCTGCGGCATCCAGTAGTCTATAGCAGTCTCTACATCCATTCTTGGGACATCGTTGTACCCTCTTGGAAACAGCTCCAGGGACCTTAACGAGGCCGTAACCACAATTAGTGCTCCTTCTTAGGGATGGAGCACCCCCGGTTTGGGACTCAATTTTGGTAGCGGAGCAGGTATTTCAGAAGATCCAAATCAAGATGTCATCAGATGGAGAAGGCTTCATGGAGGCCCATTCCAGTGCAGGCCTAACAGTTGGCATCACTGAAAAGACCCTCAATTTATTCATTAACCGCGCAACAGCCGCTATCGTACGGCAGAAAAAGGCCTTTCCAGGCCCTCCGGCCTTCCAAAATAATGAAAAAATGCAATTTCCATGATTTCCTCGCGTGCCCATGGCTACCATGGTCAAAACGTTGAAGGATGGTCCTGGCTCCAGTCATCAGGAGCTTGGATCATCATTGTGTTTATCTTGCATCCCTATCAATGGCGTGATAATTGAGCCAAGCAAACAGCTGCTTCGGCACTGTCATTTCATGTCGAAATCTTCAAGGCACTGGATCCCTCCAATCTGCCGCCTGTTCACTGGCCACGAATTTCGCATCACAGAAAGACGTACTCAAAACAGCTCCAGGGCGGTCCCTTTGCCAGAAAAGCACAACATGAGGGGCCTGATAAGTCCACACATGATTCTCTTGTGATCATGACTTAATTTGGCTGTAAAGTACCCCGCGGTTTGATCGAGCGATTTGGCCCTTGCACTCTTTTGAAGGGTAGACATGTGTCCCAAAACATGTTTACCTCATTCCGACCACCAAACAAGTCTTGATTCGGAACCCTAGGGAGTTGGCAGTTGAGTGCGCCGTACTTAGTTTACCTTATCACCCTTTTATCAACCAACCAGAAAGAGTGCCGTCGCAGTCAGCCACCCGCCCCACGCTTTCGGAGCCAGAAGGCGGATCCAACTGCTGTCGCAAGCGGTCCAGTTGCTCCTGGACAGTCCCCCACGCCCCCCCCCACCCGGCCCGCACCCAGCATCCAGCCCACGACAATTGCAACAGGAACAATTTGTTCCCTCCGTTCATGATTCCGTATATACCAGGAAGCTCAGCTCAAGCCAACTTCGCAAAAGAAAGCACAGCTCATACGTTCCGTGTTCAAGGGACCTAAACAATACTCAATAGGCGGGGCAAGAACCGAACAGGTGCAAGCACCTCGACCAAAGAACGAACCAAGAATAGTGAAATGTTGGCTACTTGCGGACAAGCGCGTCGGGACAAGCAATTTGCTTTGGCCAGATCCTTGTCAATTGTGTAAACGTGGAATTTCGTTGTCAAGACAGCGCGAACCTCGAAGACCCAGGGCGAAGAAACAAAAGCCTCTGGTGTGTTAAATCCGCATGAGCAAAGTCTAGAGGGAGTGCTACTTGATATGCTGGCCACGCAAGTCACAAACAAAAAGGGTCGTGTAGGGCCCACCCTCCCACCCAGGCAAACACACGCGCACACACACGGACTGCTATGGTTGACCCCCAGCTGCCAGCAATATTCAAGTAAACAAAACCAAACGCACCTACGAAGAAACACACACTTAGAAAAGTGCCAGTCAAGCAGTGCATGACTTGAACAAGAGGGATTGAAAAAAAGAAATAACAACACATGGCACAAATGGACGCAAGACAAACACCGACACGACACAAAGATTGACAGCACACCGAACGTTTATTTTCACAATGTATACCAACCAAGCAGCAACACCAACACCACCAGCACCCAACACCACCAACACGGTAAAAGCAACGGCAAATGCAGCGGCAGCCGCAGCGGCGGCGGCGGCGACGGCAGCAGCACCAGCACCACCCAGCCAGCAGCCAGCAGCCAGCAGCCAGCAGCCAGCAGCCAGCAGCCAGCAGCCAGCAGCCAGCAGCCAGCAGCCAGCAGGATGCAGCCAGCAGCCAGCAGCCAGCAGCCAGCAGCCAGCAGCCAGCAGCCAGCAGCCAACAGCCAGCAGCCAGCAGCCAGCAGCCAGCAGCCAGCAGCCAGCAGCCAGCAGCCAGCAGCCAGCAGCCAGCAGCCAGCAGCCAGCAGCCAGCAGCCAGCAGCCAGCAGCAGCCAGCAGCCAGCAGCCAGCAGCCAGCAGCCAGCAGCCAGCAGCCAGCAGCCAGCAGCCAGCAGCCAGCAGCCAGCAGCCAGCAGCCAGCAGCCAGCAGCCAGCAGCCAGCAGCCAGCAGCCAGCAGCCAGCAGCCAGCAGCCAGCAGCCAACAGCCAGCAGCCAGCAGCCAGCAGCCAGCAGCCAGCAGCCAGCAGCCAGCAGCCAGCAGCCAGCAGCCAGCAGCCAGCAGCCAGCAGCCAGCAGCCAGCAGCCAGCAGCCAGCAGCCAGCAGCCAGCAGCCAGCAGCCAGCAGCCAGCAGCCAGCAGCCAGCAGCCAGCAGCCAGCAGCCAGCAGCCAGCAGCCAGCAGCCAGCAGCAGCCAGCAGCCAGCAAGAGCAGAACCAACAAAACGGTCGAACCTGTCCATGTCTTTTTTGGGATTGGAGGGGTGGGGGAATCTAGTCCGTCGCTCGTGACAGTCTCAATTGACCATAGTATCATAAACTAGTGAAATTCAGGACCAAACCCAATATGACATGTGTGTCTCTAAATGAAGGAACCCCCCGGAGATTTAAAAAAAAAAAAAAACGCGGGCTTCAGCTTGCCTGTCATTTGGCACCAACTTCAGAACAGAAACACATCCAAATGTTATAACCAAGTTTGCCCAACCCTGCCAACAACAGGGTTGACCTTGCCAGGGTCCCACAAACCAGGCTATGATGCTTGCAGCTGCCATGAAGAACCAAGAGACTTTAAGGACCCCGAGCAACTACATGATGTTCATTTACCCGTTAAGGGAAAAGGATGGGGCCGTTTGAATGGATGTGGAGCTCCTCCCTACACATTTCACGGGGCTGAAGTGTTCGTCCCTATATGCGAAATGGCCAAACCATCTACTTTCACCCAATTGCAATGGAATGCCACGTGCAGGGGCCAGAAAACGTCAAGTGAAGAATACCCATCCCCTCAGAGTGTCCCTATCATTATCCTCAAACATAACGAAAATACAATAAATATATGTATATATATATATATATGTATACAGTATATAATATATACATACAATATATGAAATTAACTATTATATATGTATGTATGTATGTATGTATGTATGTATGTATGTATGTCTGTCTGTCTGTCTGTCTGTCTGTCTGTCTGTCTGTCTGTCTGTCTGTCTGTCTGTCTGTCTGTCTGTCTGTCTGTCTGTCTGTCTGTCTGTCTGTCTGTCTGTCTGTCTGTCTGTCTGTCTGTCTGTCTGTCTGTCTGTCTGTCTGTCTGTCTGTCTGTCTGTCTGTCTGTCTGTCTGTCTGTCTGTCTGTCTGTCTGTCTGTCTGTCTGTCTGTCTGTCTGTATGTGTGTGCACTGTGCCATGTATGTATGTATGCATGCTGTATGTATGTATGTATGTATGTATGTATGTATGTATGTATGTATGTATGTATGTATGTATGTATGTATGTATGTATGTATGTATGTATGTATGTATGTATGTATGTATGTATGTATGTATGTATGTATGTATGTATGTATGTATGTATGTATGTATGTATGTATGTATGTATGTATGTGTGTGTCTGTATGTATGTATGTATGTATGTCTGTCTGTCTGTCTGTCTGTCTGTCTGTCTGTCTGTCTGTCTGTCTGTCTGTCTGTCTGTATGCATGCATGCATGCATGCATGCATGCATGTATGTATCAATCACTCTGTATATACATATACATATATATATATATATATGGAAATAATCGTGTCCCCTAGCGTGTTCATTTGGGGGTTTTCTGGGAATCCACCATGAGCGGTCGCCTGCTGCTGCGCCAGCTGAAGCTGCTGCTGCTGCAGCGCTGTGAGGCCCTGCGCCAGCAGCATGCCACCCGCCTGGCCGCGAAGCGGGAAGCGCTGTGGTGGCTCAGTTGGTGGGGCAAAAACTGGTAGCCTACCACCAAATTGGTAGGCCAAAATGGAAATCACTTGGTGGGCCAAAATGGAACTCTGGCACCCCAACACCAATTACCGGCGGTTTCCACTCAAGCCTCCGCCTTTGGAGCTTTCAAAACAGGGGAACTTTGGTGGGGCACCAACTGGGAAACCCCAAAATGGAACCCTGCTAAGCTGTGCTGTCCGTTTTCAGATCCCCGATAAAGGTTTCAACTTTCAGTGGGGTGAATGAAAAACCCCCACGAAACACTAAAAAGCTGAGGAGATGGCTGGGAGCAGCCAAGTAAATTCCCCCACAACTAACATGGAGCCTGACGTTCGGGGGTCCTGGTTTGGCATTTTCCTTTTCAAGCCTGGCAGGTTCCATGTTAATTGGTGGGAGGGCAAATGGAAACATGGGCCTGGTGGGTGACAATATTGACCCAGGCCCATTTGAGGAACACACCAAAAAGGTTGAAGCTACACGCCCAAAAGCAAACATGGACTCCTATAGGACCCCCTGGTTTGGACCATTTTCCTCTAGTGGGGTCCCTTTTTCAGCATTCCTATAACTCAATGCCACCTCAACAGGCTTTGTCCTTGTCCAAAATTTGGCCGTAGACCCCAATTTTCTACAAATATGGCTCGAAGGTGTGGTTGGTGGCTTGGTTGGCGGAGAACGGTCTGCTCCTCATTGTTCGGCAAGGCTGGCTGGCTGGCTGGCTGGCTGGCCGGCTGGCCGGTTGGTTGGGTGGTTGGTTGGGTGGTTGGTTGGTTGACCACAGTTGGGTCATCCCCTAGAAAACTGTTTGGGGTCGTACGCTGTCCAAAACTGAGGTTTGGCCAATCCGATGGCCCGTAATCTAAGTTGACTCTCAGAGGAGAACCCCTTCGTACCCAAAGGATTGAGGATGGGCTTTCAACAGCCCAGTCAAACAGGACTCTAACAAGAGGCCGTGGAAAGGACAAAGACTTGGGACACATGTTTTTTTAAATGAAGACTGGATGTTGGTGGCCGGGTTGAGTTTGGTTTCCTTCAAAAGGCTGGTGGTCTCGGCTACCAATCAGTTTCCCAATCACCTAGCAGCAGAACCCCACACTGCAACAGCTGTCTTTATGCTTATTCTTCTTCTTGTCCAGGTCCCAACAGGGAATTACCATGGCTACTATGGGCATCCTATTTACGAACAACACCTTGTGGAAATGGCTCTTAAGGAGGATATAGGTGGAAGGCTGCAAATCTGCTAACATCAACTCATTTGGTCTCCTTTATCCAGGTGAGATAGGCATGAACTAGTTATTTCGCCCCCAAGCAAATAAACCAGTGTCCAGGCCCCAGTTTTCCGCTTCAAGGGCGATCTCGATCTTGTCTTGCAGTAAGACAAACACATGAGGCATCGCAAGACAACAATGGAACATGGCTTGTGCGTCTCCTCTTGTCTGCTCCCTTGGTGGTGAGGTTGCTTGTTCGCGTGCATGCTCGTGTGTTTTGCTTGGCTGTGTTGCGCCTTGTCTTGCGATGTTTTGCGCAGGGTCGCGGGAGAGTGGGAACGGCATTCCTTGTCAAGCCAACATCACCCCAGCGGGCTGGGGCACCAACAAACGAAAAGTAGGGGGATGGGTCCCGTTGAACATCAGCCAGCTAACGGGAGACTATTGTTGTGAAATTGAGCAGACCTTTTACAAAGGGGCTCTGCCAGAGTCTCCAAACAGGATACACGCAAGCACCCCAAGACTTTGCCCCAAGACTTTCCAGCTTCTTTTTGCCTATCTCTTTGAGCCGAGGCCAAGGCCGAGATCAAGCCCCCGGGGAAGTTCGCCGCTGGGGGCTGCGAGTACCTCGAGACGCAAGTCTCTAGATAAGGGAAGCCTCAAAAGGAATCCAAAAAGTTTGGCTTTCTTTTGCCATTTAGAGCCGAGGTTTTAAAAGTGTTTTGGCGGGACTCGGGTGTGGGGTCGCGAACCCTGGCAACCTAATCCCTGGTTTTGTCGTTGTTCATGTCTTTTCAATTCCGACCATGGCTAAAACACCTTTCACTTGTGTCTTTCGCTGCAGGCGAGGGGCTGTTTTTGGGATCGTGCACTTTTCTCGTAGCATCTCACCCAGGGAAGTTCTTCAGGGGAGGGGCTTGTTGGGCTGAATCCAAGGGCAAAGCTACAAGCCCCCGAAAAGCGCAGCATTTTAAGCAAAACCTGCAGAACCGTTCAAAGAGCCCTTGTACAGGAGCTGTTTGGGAGTTGTATAGGCTTCTTCCAGGCTTTTCCTTGAACAAGCTCATGTGAATAGGTGTGCCTTTGAACAGAAGGGTTTGGAAGGAGACTATGAGAAGCCCCTTGGATTGCTGCCGCTGCGCGCTTTGGGCAACACGCACAATCAGCCGGAAGTCGGAGGCAGCAGACTTGCGCCTTTTGCTTACTCCATGCTGCTGTGTTTAGTGTGGATGTCTGACCCGCTCACTGTCTGACAGTGACTGACCACGGACAGCTGAGACTTGTTCGGTCCTTGACTGAATAGAAAAGAAACCCGGGAACGAACGGCTTAAAGCTTTAACATTCAACAAGAAAGCTGCGTATACAAGCAACTACCTCCGAACGCATGACGAGCTACGGTTCGCTCTCTTTCAAACGCCGCCCCTCACCTTCATTGTCCAACTTTGGGCCCCTGTTTAGAACCTTGTCATTTTCCTTGTGCTGCATTCCAAAACCATCATTCTGTCCACCCTTGCAAGGCTCCGAAGTGAACTGTTCCCAGTTGACGGCAAGTAAAACCGAACTCTTTGGGCAAGTTTGTGATGATACAAAGTCCACAATGTTTGGGCGATGTCCATCCGGGATAAGCACCGAACCCTCTGATCGTCTGACCCTTTTGTGGCTCTACCCGTATGGTTAGCTGGAATGCCTAAACTGCAAATACACACACACACACGTGTCTCTTTGTGTTTTGCTGGAAGGCACCCTTTCAACTTGGAAGGGAATCCAACAGGAAACCTGGCATCTTTGGGACCCATCGCCGATCCAAATCCGTTCGACCGCGTTCATGTGCCCAGGGCACTGCAGCCCACGCCAATCCATACCTGGCAGAAAAACGATCGAAAAGCGGGGAGGGGGAGGATCCGAGTTTGACTCGTGACGCCTGTTGCGGAAATTGCAAACACCCCAACTGTGTAGACCGCACTTGAAGAAATGGGATCAAAAAGCAAATCTCGTTTCCGGAGGGGGCTACTAACCATGCAGCCTATTTCCCAGACCATCCAAGCACAGCAAGGGGACCACGCCGGTGCCCCCGACATTCATAAAAATGCTCTTGCAACCCCTCCAAACTCACAACCCAAACTCCAGTGTTGGTCCGATTGAGTCTTCTCCCCCGGGTTGCAGGGTGGGGCCAACCCCTCGTTTGCCATGTTTGATGTTCAAACCACTATGATTTAAGCACTCTCCTTTGGCTTCCCCTTGTAAGAACAAGAATATGGCTGTTTAAGCACATTTTGCCCTGACTCCCTGAAAAATTCGAAAATTTGTTGAAAACCGAACCAAACAGGGTACTAAAGGGAGACCCCGGCGTGTGTTTGGGGGGGGGTCCCACTTTGTCCTCCACCAGGGTCCGCCCCGCCCACCCCGCCTGGGTTCGCGAGGTTGGGGTCCAGGCCGTACATCATCTGCGGCGGGATCCGGGAGCCCGCGTCCTGGCGAGTCTCAAAGAGATGTGACGTGGGTCGCTTGGGGTCCTGCGATACATTGGGGGGGGGGGGGAAAAAACGCCTCCTTGTAAGGGGATGCGACCAGAGCGGCGAATCTGTGGGAACATGCATTGACACCTAAAAAACAAACAGAGGCATACCTATCACTTCCTGTGAATGCCACGTCTGAGTCTGGATATGAAAGTCCCAAGACATGGGTCTCCCTGCGTGCTTGATCGCTATCTCAGAAGCCCAGCGGTCATGCGATTTTTTTTTGTGTTGGATGATCTTTGAGAGAAACCAACTGGGTTTTTGCTTACTTAGTGGTTACCCTTTTGTTTCCCAAGCCTGACTAGGATACTAGTACCCTCAAAAATCACTTACCGACTTGATCTCTTCTGCCCAAGTCAGCCTGAGACCTTCCTCTGCGGCGCACCTCCTTTGCAATCCGAGGGACCCCGGCCCCCGCTTTCATGGAATCATCCAAGATAGGGCCCTCTGTTTATGTATTGCATCCGAGTGGGTATGATTGAGCAAGGAGAGGTTTGGGGGTGGATTGCCGCTGTGGGTTTTCCTCAAGAGGGTGCAAGGGTGCAAAGAGATCCCTCCAGCAGGATCACCTGAATGAAGTGCTCGCAACAGACCCATCGTCTTTGGGCCGGCATGTGTTATTGACCGTGTTCATTGGTGATTAAATATTTGAGAGCGTGTTGCCAGAAGGACCACGGAGGACAAGAAAACAAATAAACCTTTGAGTCTAACAAACTAATTCGAGAAGCTGACGTTCGCGTGGCCTCCTTTGTTTTAACCATCAAGCCCCGAAAAAAAAGAAACAAACTGGAGTCAACATTGTCCCTTTGCGAAAGAATAGACAGGCCCCTCGACTTCCTAGATTGAATCACCAGGCTCACGGCGAGGGAATAAGCAGCTCATTCTCTCCAAAGTGCGTCCCTCATGCCATGGAATTGTGTCCCCGGAACCCTGTTCCAACCCGCCTGGTGTGGTGGGATACGAGACCCAGCGTCATAGGTGGGCGGCATCAAGCCTCGCGCCGACCGATTCCGATCTGTCCATCTTCCCGAAAATCTGCGCTCTACACTTCTAGTAACCCACCGGTTGAGTGACCCTGATGGAAAGAGGGAACCAAATTTGGGGCTGACTAATTCGAGAGGGGAAGCCATCAAGCAAAAAAGCGGGAAAAGGCTGGGGTTGTGTGGTTGATTCTCAAACCAGGGGGTTGCTTTCCTTTGGCTTCCCTGCAAATACCAACAAAATACATTCGCTCAACTTGGTTGTTTCGCCAGGTTGGTTGTTTGGTCGAGACGAGACTTAGATGTGTGTGTCATGGCTTTACTTTGCCGGCCATTCAAAGTCCCATGGGCCGTTTGCTGGCTAAGGCATGCACAGGGGCCCAGGTGTGCTCGCAACTGCGGGATGGACCTGGCTGTCGATCAGGCAAAGCTCAGTGAGGAACGCAGGCGGCGGATCTGCAATGATCAGCAATTCTTTCGGCGAGGAATTTGGCTGGCAGGCCAGAAAGTTTTCGGCGAGAAATTCAACGGGCAGGCTCAATAATTTTCGGCGAGTTCCTCCGCGAGGGGCTCTCCCAAAAGTCAGGATCTCGGCGAGCAATCTCGGCGAGTTGCGCTGAGCGGCTTGGCTGGCTGCGAAGCACGAAAATCTCCTTAAGGCCCAGTTCCACCAAGCCCTGCTTTTGGAGAGGCCCTCGCAGAGGGGCTCTCCTTGAGAGGGGGGTCTGGCCGACTTTTGGGAGAGGCGACTGCATCGCGCCCCAAGTTTCTCTCCCAATAGTCGGCCAGACCCCCCTCTCAAGGAGAGCCCCTCTGCGAGGGCCTCTCCGAAAGCAGGGCTTGGTGGAACTGGGCCTTAAGGAGAGATTTTCGTGCTTCGCAGCCAGCCAAGCCGCTCAGCGCAACTCGCCGAGATTGCTCGCCGAGATCCTGACTTTTGGGAGAGCCCCTCGCGGAGGAACTCGCCGAAAATTATTGAGCCTGCCCGTCGAATTTCTCGCCGAAAGCTTTCTGGCCTGCCAGCCAAATTCCTCGCCGAAAGAATTGCTGATCATTGCAGATCCGCCGCCTGCGTTCCTCACTGAGCTTTGCCTGATCGACAGCCAGGTCCATCCCGCAGTTGCGAGCACACTGGAGCCCCTGTGCATGCCTTAGCCAGCAACGCAATCAAGAACTCTCATCCTGCGAAAACGGCCCATGGGACTTTGAATGGCCGGCAAAGTGAAGCCATGACATACACAGCTAAGTCTCGTTTCGACCAAACAACCAACCTGGCGAAACAACCAAGTTGAGCGAAAGTTTTTTCAACTAAAAAGGGGCCACTAGGTGACAGCGGAACCCCCAAATGGGTTCCGGCCACAGGTTGCCCGTCTCTACTTGCATCTGCCCGGGCGGCACTTGAAAACTAGACAAACAAGATCGAACAAATTGGCAGACACGACCATTTCCCTTTTGCGACCGGGCACAGGCGCCATTCCGATAGCGAGCCGAGTGGGAAAAACATGGAAAGAAACCACATGCCGCTGGCATAGGCACAGGGTCGTTTTGAACTCTTTGAAGTCCTTGGAAATCCAAAAGATGACCTCAATTGCTGGAAAGCGGGAAAATCGACCAATTAGATTCATAGCACTCAGTTTGGCATCCCAAATAGATCCACTCATCCTCCCACCCTCGAAGGCGCCGCGCCTGGAATCTGACCGGCCAGCCCCATACCTGCAAAATCATTTCAACCAAAGTCCACTTGCTCTGGCCAAAGCCGGCGCGAGCTGTGGAGGGGTGGTTCCTAACAAAGAAACCCAACAAATGCCTCCGGAGATCCCCCCAAACAGACACACACACACACACACTCTTAGACTCCCACACACACACACACACACACACACACACACACACACACACACACACACACACACACACACACACACACACACACACACACACACACACACACTTGGGAAAAAAAGAAGAAGACCAAAACTGGTTTGGTGGTTTCTGTGTTTTTCCCGTGGGCGGAAAGAGCGGCTTTCCGGCCAAACCAAGTCGGCAGAAAGCCATGGGTCGACTCCAACTGCTTTCCCCGTTCTGCACATGGGTGCTTGCTGTAGTATTTAGAGGGTGGTCATGTAACTGCTTCTCAGGACACCCAAACAAATGTAACCAGGGGCCGCAAGCCAATTGATGGGCTTACTCAGGGTGCGACATATATAACTTCTTGGCATCCAGAAGGCAATATTCCTTCGCCCCCTGCCATACCGGCATACATGAACGTACAAAAATGTTGAACCTGCCCACTAACAGACCGTTATTCTCCTGCAAGCACAATTTCTTGCCAACTGTGGGGTCAAAGTCCATGACATTCCAAATTACCCCAACTCCTACACCGAAAAATAAGCCAGAGGGGACTTCATCAAGTTGCTCATGCCGGTGGCATTTTGGTGATCTCCAAAAATCGCAAATGCGCAAATAGCTCATGGCATGCCGGTCAGGCGTTCCTAACCCAAAAAAAAGGTTGTAACATAACCATTCCAAGGGCAGCAAAGGCAGTGGTAAAGTATTCCCTGGAACTCTTTGCTGTGGATGCAAAAAACAGCCAGACCACAGACGTGCTTCTGTCCCAGAATTCATGAGGCCATTAGCGAAGAGAAGCCATCCCCCGTGCTTACTCAGATTAGCACAGAGCCCCAAAATCACCGCTTTGAGAGTCAGCTGCCCTTCTCACCTGCTTCATTGGGAAATCCAAACCATTCACCGCAACCAGACCCCAAAGCCGCCCCAATCCGCCCCCAATTCTTCTTGGCCTTCCAGGTCCTGCGGCGGGCCTCCGGGGTCGCGCCCAGGAGCGCTGGGGAAAAAATAGGACGACCCCCTGTGGTCTCCATCAAAATGGAAAGTTGTCCCTTGATAAAGGGCATTTATGCAAATGTGGTGATATGTCCTGCAAGTTTTGTCTGGGTGAATCATACCATCGCAATACCATTTCACCGGCCCACACTAATGGCATGGGGTTATTAGATATTTGCGGCAAGCTCGCAGGGAGTTCGATGCTCTGCGCATCTGCCGTGAGATCTGCTGTTATAGATAGGGAATGACTTCCAATTGGATTTCCTTGGTACACATCATTTCCGTTGGGATTTGTGCCCAAACATCTTTTCCGGGGGCCGTTGTTCCCCCACTATTGGAGCTGCCGTACTTTCCAGCTGGGTTTACCATGCCCCCGAGCACTGCAAGTAGGTGATGGTTTGGATCACCACTACGAATTGTGTGGTGGATCACGGATTAATGGTGAAACGAAGTCCACAAATGGGCCAACGCTGGTGGCTGGGCTTGACCAATGATGTGATATATATATATATTATACAAATCGTGGCCACCCTCCCGATGTCTTGGGTTGCTTGCAACCACAAGACCTGCCCGACTATGGAGGCCAGAAGGTCCCCTTGAGGAAAATAGTGATCTTTACCCTGTTGAAGGCATCGCTTGCCGGGGATTGCCAAAGTCTAAGCTCCTATTTGAGCTCCCTCATCCACCACTAGACGAAGACAACAACTCAAAGTTCAACAGCTTGAAAGGTTCGTTCTGAGCGCGTCAGCATCAGTCCCAATAGGACTTACCATTGCTGGACACCGTGACAGCCAGGAGCAGTCCGAAAATCTGCCCTCAGGCTGCTCGGTCTTTGGAAAGCAGAACGCTACGAATGAGCCTCGTGATTGGACCTGCGCATTTTGAGTTTGAGCCGGTGGAGGCAAGATTTGCGTTGAACCTGATTTGTCTTCAAAGACAGCACGGCCACATGCCGAGCAAAATGCCCTCACGGTTGGCCTCAGAAGTGAAGGTCAAAAACTGGGTCTTGAAACTGGGTGCCGTCTCTTGCGCATATCGCCATCGCATTGCTGCATCACTGCACCAGGTCACCAAATTGACAGCAACCTGAATCTACTCGAAGCGGTTTTTGTTGTGTCTCACACTCGAACCCCCCTCCTGTTTGGCTCATTCAGGCAGGGGCAGGGTACTTGGCAAGTAGGTGAGTCCAGTGACCAGGTTTAACCACCCTGACGTACCCCCTCAACTCCCACGCCCATGGCCTGGCATGCCGCGAGGTCCTCGCGCCTGGAAGGCTCCGGAACGCCGCGGGAATGGGACCCCCGAACCGGGCCCGAACCCCGACAGGAAAAGAAGTCCATCCTATCATCCTATCTGTCTCCGCTTGTGCAACCCCAGCTGAACTTCGTGTGGTTGCCTCTGGGTCCAATTGGCACGTAAGATGTAAAGTCATCTCAGCAGCCATTGTTCCGGCCAAAAGATCCCCAAGCGGAAATACGGGATTCCCAAGCAAGGGACCTTGATGTGGAGGTTTAACGAAATGGCACCCGATGTCGGTCCAAAAGACCCCCCCCCTCACAGCGTTCGATCAACTTCTGCTTGGTAAGTACGCGGTCCGGAAACATCCTGGTGCTCAAGTTCGTCGGGTTACCCGGCTTCATTGTCATCGCCACCTGTGGGACTTTCTGATTCACACTCACCAAAATCGTCAAATGAGGGGCTCCTTCATAAGTGGACCTCTCCTAGGGAACTAGGAGCGAACCTTCACGAATGGCGTAGGTTCCTATTCAATCATCAAATCCATCTTGAAGCGTGCTCGGCCAGGCCACAGGCGACCAGTAGCCATGGGAACAAAGGACCTCCCTCTTCGGAGATGCGTCGTGGATTTTTGAATGGGGAGCCAACGGGAGCAACCGGGGCCAAGGCCCGAATTTACCGGCCCAACGCTTCAAACTTTGGCGCCTTGGACCTCGAACCCCTTCATGTTTCATAGATGGTAATAGTCATGATTGTAGCGCATCCCCAGACCCAAGTAGCGAAGTCGCTATCTCCTGGTTTGTGGGGAACAGGCGATGCGCTTGAGGCTTGAATGCTGGGGTCCGAAAAATGGGAGGCTGTAAGAATGATTACAATAGTTCTTCTTTTGGGGTCCTTTTGTATGAGCATGATGGGCTACTTGTCGCCCAGCGAATGTCAATCACCAACCAGGCTGAACAAAAAACCAGCTGGTTGATTCCTCACAAACCTCCCACCTTTGAGGGACTTCGTCACTTCTCCTTTTAATGGGGGGGAGGGTCACCATCTCCGATCCGATCCCGTCCTCCATGTGTGGCGGCAAGAGCGGCTGGCCCGGCAAGGGGCTCCGAAAGCCGCCTGCAAAGCACCGGAAAACTCCAAGGAGTCGGTTCGACAGCTGCCCAATCAGATGGCCCCTACTCTTGGTGAAGGTCGTCTGTGAGGACGCCCTGCACGAGAACAACTGCCGAACTGTTGCCTGGTGCCACATTGTTGGCCACATGCTGAGCCCGCTGATCTTGTCGCAATCCCATAAGTTGCTTTGGACTCTTCAAAGCACCACATTGGTGCTACTGGTACCTTAATCGCGAACGGTGCATCCTTTACGCCGCATAAGGATTTGTGCCAAAATGGGAGGATTGCCCAGCTCCACTGGGCAGCTCCCCTCAGCAGCTGATGGAGTAGAATTGATGCCACTCCCACAGCGAGGGAGGAATCCTCCCACCTCACCGGATGCCCTCCCGGCATCATGGGTGAGGAAGGAAAGTAGCGAAGATCAGCTTGATCAATTCGCTTTCGACTGAGGGGAAGACCCGGTTCTCAGTCGGAAATTGCGGGTCCGGATGAGTAAGTTCATCCGCCCATGTGTTAAAGTCGCGCTTCACATGCGACGGTCCTAACATGACCTGGTGGTCATGCAGTGTTAACACAATTTCCATGAGGATGGCCGCATTGGGCATCCTGCGAGTGGAATCGTTAAGCAGGGAGAAAACGTTTCCCTGGTTATCACTAGCAACCAGAATCCTAGTGTGAGAAGCCGAGCCGGCTGCACAAAGCAGAACAGCCCTCACCAAAAGGAGGAGGCCGAAGAGCTCCAAGGCCGCTATCGCCCGCTGCGGGTCCCCAGTAGTGAAGGCCCACGGCTCGCCCTCCGGTGTGATTCTGTGTTGGAACCACTTCACTCGGGACTTGTCGGGGTTGGGCACGTCCGAGCACCAACCACCAACCCATGCATGGTCCGCCTGTTTGCCAGCTCCCGCATCAGATGCCCCCGTCCATGGAAGTGTGGGAGCAAATGGAGATGCCAGTGGGAACCTCTGGTTGAAGAGCTTCCCCAGAAGGATGGCCAGAGCACGAACCAGCTTCGGTGGCCTGCCCGAAGTGGTGCAGGCCTTCTTCCAGCTCCAAAAGGGCTGGAGGAAAGGTTTCGTCAATGGACACGCCGAAGTAGCCCATTGAATCCGGCCCAGCTTGTTCCACCTCCTTGCTGGTAAAGATGTCCCCCTGGGCCAGCCGTTTGAGAGTGGCCAGGATTATGACGTGCTTGACTGGAGCCAGCAGCACACAGGGCGTGATTGGGTCCACCACGAATCCCAACCAGGTATTGACCGGGGAGAGCGCCGTCTTCTTCCAAGAAAGCGGGACTCCCAGCGCCAGAAGAGTGGCCAGGATGGCTGTGGCGTCCCAGTCCGCCCTGCTGCATCTGAGGACCCAGCAGTAGTCGTCCACAAAAACTAAGTGCCAGTCTACCTGAGGGAAGATGTAGTACAAGAGTCTGAGCACCAAGGATGCCTTTCTTCCCCAGTACAGTTGTGCCGAGGCCATGCCGTACGTGCCCACTCTATTGACCCACCACCGGTTCTGGATGCAGGCCACCTGGTATTTCCAGTCTTTCTGGAGCACTTTTATGCGCCTGTGGGCCTTGGTGACATCCGTCCCCCTGTGTCGGCGGCTGCCACGTCAGGGGTTCCCCCCTGCTCCCCCCAGGGCGTTCCGTGCCTGGGGGGGTTGGGGGGAATGGGGCCCTCCGATCAGGGCCCTCGGCACCTGGGAGTGGCCCCTTCCTGAGGGCGTCTGAGGTCTCCATCATCCGCCTGCCCCTATCAGGGCCCTCGGCATCTGGGGGCAGGCTGGTGCTGTGCTTTCGGCACCTGGGGACTGCCCCTGCACCGGCTGGCGAACATCCCGAGGTTCCTCATCAGTGCCCGAGGATGGGGCTCGGAGTAGATGAGGATGGTCCGCCGCTGTCCTGAGCCAGTGGATGGCATGGAGGCAGTCTCCAACCATCGGTGCGGTGGTCTTCTCCTCCGTGTGAGCCTGGATGTGTGCGTTTGCTCCCCCTTTTGAGCCATCATAGATCGTCCTGATCTTGTCCGACTCATCAATCCCTGCAAGGGGGCCCGGGCAAAGTTCCTCCGGTTTGCAGCGGCACCTCTCTGCCGCCTCGGAGCGAGTGAAGGGCCCGTCCACCATGTCCAAGGCTCGTTCCTCGTAAAAGGTTGATTCGATTTCCTTGGCAAAGAGTTCAGCCGTTGGGTAGTTACCATGAGCCACTGGCGGGGGGGGATCTTCCCCCAGCCAGGCTTCTCCCTTAAGCTCCTCCTTAGTGGGCCAAACTCCCGGGGAGGTCAAGGTAGGGTCCGAGACTCCCAAGGGGACCCCCTCTTTCAGTGTAAGGGGGAATTCCCAATCAGGGTCACCTGAAAGGGATGCCAAGTGCGACACTAAGTCCAGGAGGAAGGGTTGTCCTGGGCATCGTTCATGGAGGTGCCTCGGTCCTAGGATAGCCCGCAGCTCCTCGAGGTCGGCTTCCTGGAAGGGGTGTGTGGTGGCACCTGATGCCAGGGACATTCGGACCTTGTCAATCCAGGGACGGGTAAGGGTCATGATCAGGGCGCCCAAAGTAGCCAATGGGGAAATTCTCCGAAAAGGGGGGTTGAGCCTTTCTGGGGAAGGTTTTCCCCCCCCCCATCCCTCAGGGGGCGTGAGCGGAAACCCAATTGGACGATCGCCACCCGGTCAGTGAGGTGTGGGACCCTGAAAGCGGGCAGGCATTCGGGGCGGTCCAGGACCTGGTCCCCCTGTCCCTCCTTCCCCAGTTGTTCCGCATCTCCGGCCATCGGGGGCATGGGAGATGGGAAGTCTGGGTTCATTGTTCCACGAGGGCTTACGGTGTCTGCCTCAGGGTGGAACTGCCCGTGCAGGCGGGGCTTCGGGGCGTTCTTGCCTCCGGGCTTTGAGCCCTGGTGTGATGAGGAGGGACCGCCTCCTTGACTGGGCCCCCGTTTTCCCCGGGGGGAATGGCCTTCCGGGGGGTCCGACCCCCGCCCCTTAGGTGGTCCCTTGGTTTCCCGGAAATTGTGAGGGGATCCGGATGTGCCCCGGCGCTGCGAGTGACACAGCGATGGCTTTGGCCAGGCCTGCCATCATATCCCAAGGGTATCTGCTAAGAGTCGAGGACTCGTTGGTGCCCACATGTGACTGATGCGTGCACCGCATTTGATCCCAGTCCTGGATCGGGAGATCCGTGGCCAGCGTAGTGGCCTTCTTGACCAGCTGGCCCAGGCGGCACTGGTCGAAGGAGATTGCTGTCAAGGAATTCTCCTCCATCAAAAGCTGCCCCTCCTCTGTGATCCAGAAGGATGAGCATTCCTTGGCTTTGGGCAGCGAGCTGCTCACCACTGGGTCCTCCGGGTGTTCCAGGAAGGACCTGGGCCCTGGCAGAGAGACCGCCGCTCGTGAGGCCCTTGCCAGGCTGGTGATGTACATCTGTCTCAGAATGAGGATGCTGTCATCATCAAGTTGAGTCTGGGCGGCCTGGTCCAGGTGTGGAAGGCCCCAGAGTGTCTCTGGAGTGTGCCCTCGCACCGGGGTGGGAGCCCCCGGTTTTGGTATGTGGCGCAGGATGGACCATGTCCTGCAGTTGGGTCCTCCTCCAATGAAGACCACTCGGCCCTGCTTTGCTGCCGTGCAAAGAGCTCCATACAGCTCGGGTTGGAGCATGTCGTGGTCCCCCTTGGGTCCAGACCGTAGGATGTCTACCGCCACCACCATGCTGGAAAGGTGTGGGTAGTTGGCATGAAGACAGCTGTCCAAGGAAGTAGGGTCCTCCTTGCCTGCATAGAGCAGGACAATGATGGGCCCACTGGATGGAACTTTGGGCGATGTGCCCTGTGTCCATCTCAACCGCTGTACCAGACGCTCAGGGATGTTCTCCATCCACGGGAAGATGTCCAATCCCGGTGACGGCTCCGTTGGACTTGTCAGGGGGGTAGCTGAAAGGCGTTGGCCCCCTTCATTCAGCCCCACCGAGCTCTTGTGGAAAACCACCGGGTCCTGCTTGATGATGTTGGGCGCCGGAAGTGGGATCGGCTGCCTCCTGGGAGTGTCCCTTGGCGTTGCGGTGTGCTGCCAGACATCCGGCACTCGGGCCTTCTGGGTGCGGCCCCCCGTCAGGGCCCTCGGCACCTGCGGGGAACCGTCCCGTCCCCGCCCTATCAGGGCCCTCGGCACCTGTGGCTCGGGACTGAGGCGCCGCCGTTGTGCCGGTTGTGTGGCTGTTCTGATCACGGCGAGGGCGTTGTGCACGCTGGTTCTGCCGTCCCCATCCTTGTTCCGCCGAGGATGGCCGCCACCTGGCCTGTCCCCCCCCTGTGTCAGGGCCCTCGGCACCTGCAGGAGGGGGCTTCTGTGCCTGCTTGGGGCGTTTGCGCCCCTTCTCGCCCCCCCGGGCCTTATCAGGGCCCTCGGCACCTGAGGCCTCCCGGGGGGTAGGGGTCAGCGCCCCTAGTCAACCCGGGCAGTCCTGCGGGAGGTGGTCCCCCAGGCAGATGCGGCCCATTGCCAGGATGAGGTTGCACTTGTGGGTGCGGCCGCAGTTGCCCGGGCAGCGCCCGCGCATCCAGTTGTTACAGAACTGGTTCCCTTTCGGGTCGGTGGCTGGCTTGCTACCGCCCCGGGACGCCTGATTGTTCAGGTGGGGGGGCTTACCCTTCCCTTTGTTCCCAGGCTTGCCCTTGGGCTTCCCCTTGCCCTTGGACTTGTTCTTGCCCTTCTGAGGTGGTGCGTAGTCCATGGATGTCCTGGTTGATGGGCGGCCCCTGGAAAAGGGCTTGATCTTCTCGTAGACCTCACGTGTCCAGAACAATGTGTCCTGCCTGACCGACAGCATGGCCGCCTTGAGGGTGTTGCCCTCATGCATCTTCTCGTGAATCTTTCGCCATGCGTTGCGTTCGGCAATTGCCAGGACGTGGTCCTCTGGCGGGGGAAAACGGCCCCCGATGTCCTCACCATAGAACCACTCGTACCAGCTCTCCAAGTCCTCCCGGGTGATGTCGAACTGGCCGAACTGCGGGAAC